GGGGGGGGGGGTTTCTTTTTGGGTCCATGTGATACACACTCGCCCGGATGCCACATTCCCCAACTGTCCCCTGCGGTCTCCAAGGGCAACAGAGCTTAACTACTACAATGGGGATGGCTAGGGGTGCGAAAGGACAGGAGGGGGGTAGTTGCCGGGGTAACCAGACCATCAACTTTACACCCCCTCCTCTCCTTCTGCTTCAAATACACACCTCAGAAGACAGAAAGACACTTTACCAGGCCCCTGCTCTGACTACAAATCTGTTTTTTCCCTATTTTTAGTTTTTCAACTGGACAATACGCAGGGCTTCTCCCCCCCCACCAAACAAGGTACTTTCCGATTTGGATGTAGAACAAGCAGACTCTAATCTAATAACAAATCTCCTCACGCTCTCAATTTGCGTCCATCTTCCACATTAGACACTACAGTGTTCAGTAACGGCTTTCATGTGATTCACACATGGACTTCTCAGCTGGGACATCTGCAAGCAGATATATTAGCGGGCGCACAAGGCTGTACTCATAAAAAAAAAGCTGTGAAAATGTATTTTAATTCCAAGGAGTTTCTCAAACCTGGGGTCAAAATCTCACATTTATAGGAGTGAAAGAGTAAATCTTTTTTTTTCTTTAAAAAGCAGTCTCAGAAGGCACCTGGAACATGGTACTTCTGTCTGATGAAACCAAAACAGAGCTTTTTTGCCATCAGACTAAACCTTCTCTTTATATGCCAAACACTGCACATCCTCCAAAATGTACCATCTTTCCCAGAAAAGGCTTGTGAGGGTGGAGGAGAAACGAACGCAGCTAAATACAGAGAAGTCCTGGAGGAAAAAGCCTTACGCATCTGCAAGAAACCTGCCACCTGTGAGAGGGTTTGTTCTCCAGCAAGAAAATGAGCCCAAGCATGAAGACAAAGCTACACTTTACGACCATGTTAATGTCCCGCAGTGGCAGAAGAGGCAATAAAACATTAAAAAAAACGTCTTTCTAGAACAGGGGAAAAAAACAACAACAAAAAAAAGACAAAATACTGGGTTAGTCACACCGTCACGCCAGGCTGAGCTGCTCATTTTCTGGGTTAAAAATGGAAACCGCACAGACCCGAGGGCCCAGATTCTCAAGTGGCGTGAAAAATTATCTTTGGGTCTTCTCTGCATACTTAGCAATCCTTTTTTTTCACGAGCAGGGAGCCAGGAACCGAGTGTGTAACGGTGGAAATCTTGGGACAGACACAACACGGAGCATCAGAATAAAGACAGAGCTTTAATCCTCGACGTCGACACAATGCACACCTCTGACTGACTGATTTGGAGGAGATTCTTCATTAAAAAAAGAACGTGTTAAGAGAGTGCAGGCTTCTTTGGTTGCCTCCCTATTAAAACCGTTTTCGATAAACAAGTCAGAATGCACAACACCAGAGATTTTAACTATATTATTGCACCAACACAAATAAAACCAGCCCTGTCTCTCTCTCTCTCTCTCTCTGAGACACTCAATCCCATTGATCCCACTGTGGAGCCTCACTGTAATCAATACACAGCTGATCGATCCATGTTCAGCATCATTTGGGATGCGAGAGGTTTCCACGTGCAGGGCGTTGACATGATGGCCATGGACAGAAACTGTTACCACAACAACCAGAAGATACCAGACTTTAAATCTGATCTTCTGTAGCTGAAGCTTTAAGAAGATTCAAGTACATTTGCACTTGTTTTATGAGTTGTATCGCCTTTAAAAACGAGTGAGATCACTCCATTTTATTAAAAAAAGGTTATAAAAGTTTGTTTATAAGTGAAATGTCTGAGGTTTGCATGAAACATCTCGTTTAAAGTGGGTGTTTCTCGCCGTGCAGCCTCAGGTGGGTGCTGCGGGGCTCAAACCAGCTTTCCCCGAGTGGCTCCCGGGGGCCTCCAGGCCTCAGGGTGGCAGTGGGCCAGCGAGGCGTGGCTGCTGCCTCAATGCTGACTCCTGCAAACAACCCAAGCCCAGGCTTCGAGGCCTTTACCAACCGACACGCTCGGCAGCATGGAGGGAGAGAGAAAAAAAGAGAAAAAGATAAGCAGTGAGCGATGCGTTAAAGGCTGCAGCCGCGCCGAGGACGCACTGATCCGACAGCACGGCCACAAAGCAGAACACACCCAGGATGAAGTGATGCCGCTGTGAGCAACAGACTGGTGACCACACAGAAAGAAAAAAAAAAAAAA